TTCTTCCTTTCAAGATTTATCCCCTTAATCTTTTTCACTTGTCTTATTGCTCTGGCCAAAATTTCAAGTGCTGAAGAGAGAAAATTTCAAGATACAGAGAGATACAACCTCTTTTCCCTTGAATTTGGTGGAATTGTTTGAGTTTTTCTTTAATACATTTAATTTTGCCTATACATTTGATATAATACCTTAATTATGCTTATATCCCCTTTATCCTAATCTCTGTAGTACTTTTATAATAAATGACTGTTGAACTTTTGTCAAAGTTTATTTTTGAGGGGGTGACATCTAATGAGATATCATAGATTTATTGTTGTTTGTCTATTTGTTTGTTACTGGCTTGTTTATATTTTGTGTGATTGTTTTTGTATTGCTTTCACTGTATTTATACGGTGGATGACTATTTTGATTTTTTTATGTTGAAACATCCCTGAATAACTTGAGTGAAGCCTACTAGGTCATGGTATATGAGTTTTTTTGATATGTTCTTGAATTTAGTTTACAAGTGTTTTATTGCTTATCTTTGTATATATTTTCATGAGACATTGAGTTTTAATTCTCTTTCTTACTTCAGTTTTTATGTGGTTTGGATACTAGGGTAACTATTGCTTCTTAATACGTAATTGGCAATGGTGCTTTATGTTCGTATTTTGTAGAATACTTTGATGAATATTGGTGTTAACTCATCTTTGTAAATTTGATAGAAATCTGAGCTGACACTGTCTGGTGTTGGGCTTCTTGGGAGGTTAGAGATTTAATGAATGGTACTATTTCTATAGATGTTACAGGCATAATTAACTTATTATCTGCTCTTAATTTTACTTTGGTAAGTTGTACGTATAGAAAAAAAATTCATCTCTTTTAGATTTTCCATTTTGGCCAGAGTACAGGTTTTTTAAAGTATGTCTTTACTGTTGTCTGGGTTTTCGCCATGTCTGTTTTTAACTATTCTTTTCATTTATGATTTCATTAATTTTGATAGTCTTTTCCATCTTTTAATTCATTTGGATGTTTTATCTATCTTGTTGATTTTCTGAGAGAATAAAATCTTTGTTTTATTCATTCTTTGTATTGTTCTAATTTATTGACTTCAGCCTCCAATTTGGTTATTTCTTGCCATCTACTCATCTTGGATGTCCTTACTTCTTTTTGTTCTATCTTTCAGGTGTTCTGTTAAATTGTTACCATGAAGTCTTTCCAATTTGTATGTAAAAATAAAAAAAAAAGTTCATGGCTATGAACTTTCTTAGTAGCTTTATGAGTGAAGTGTTCTGAAATTACCTCTTAGGTTCATGTGCTTTATAAAGATCCACATTTTTCCATTTAGCTTTTGTCTGGATGACCTTTCAATTGGTGACACAGGGAGACTGAAGTCTTCCAATATCAGTGTGTGAAGGTTAAGTGATTTAAGATGTAGAAAGGAAAGCTTCACAAAAAAAAATTATTTAAAAAACTTGAGTGCTCTTGTGTTTGGGACATAGATGTTTATAATTGATAAATAATATTGACAACAATAGCAAAAACAAAAGGCAAGAACTAAACAGATCACTCAACAATTAAAATTACTGCCTGCTTTGAAGAAGGTATAGATTCAATATCCAGAACTCCCATGCCAACTTTTTCCTTCCTTTTATCTCCAGCACCAAGGGATTCTACACAGACTTCAGGTCTCCTTGTGGGACTGTCCATTCAGCAGGTGCACAGATATACATGCAAGCAAATGGATACACTTATACATGAAGTAAAATATAAATTAAGATAACTAAAACAAAATGCATAAGAGCCAGGCCAAAGTAGTAAAGATGTTTAATAGTGAAGAATGCTTTCTTTCAGTTATCAGGGCCTCCATCAGGAACACAAAACAGCCTTTAAATTCAGCTCCTAAAGATTAAATAATTTAAACATATTTAAAAACAAAATAAATAAACAAAATAAGTACTTGTTTTGCAGAAGAACAAGTTATAAGCATCTATCAACTTTTTTAATAATCATAATTAAATTTAAAATATTAACTTCTATTAAGCAATATTAATAAACATTGGGGCTATTCGCTGGTCTAATTTCACAAAGAAAAATGAAATATAATGCAAAGTACATTGTAATAGCTTCTCACAGAGAAGAACCAAAATGATGAAATTTCCCAGTGACTTTTAAATTTATGATGGATATAGATATTGTGCAAAATAAAACTGATCATGAAAAAGGATATTTCAAAACAACTTAAGGGTAATTTTGTCTCATTTCTTCTTCTTCGCAGCAATGTCACAGAATTAGATTGTTATGCTGTCAAGAGAACAATCTTCACTTTAACTTAAAGTTTGCATTTTGTTTTCATATTTGTCTTGAATACATGCTTTTATCTAGGATCATACTACTGAGGATAAGTAAACCTCAAATTATGTGACTATTTGCATGATCCAGATTTATGTGTATATTATTTTTGTATCAGTAATTTGATATCTTTGTCAGAAAATACTTAAGTACTCGAGAAAAGATTGATGAGGCTTGATTACTCAGGCATACAACCATTTAACTGTACATATGTAAATAATGTTTGCATATGCTTATAGAAAACTATGTAATAAAATGCTTATCTAAAACAGAGTATAAATGTTTCATGGAGGTAGAAAAATTACTCATATTGTGAAGTTTCTTTAGTCTGGCACAGGTACCCCACTCCGTTCTTCTCCCTGTGACTTTTTACACATATTTTGCTCTTTCAACTTCTCCCAAAAAGAGAAAGCTCATGTGGAAGCTGTAGTGTCACTGTGTGTCCTACAGAATAGCATTTTGTATAAATCTGTATAATTCTTAACATGCAAATATTCATTACAATGAATCACTGGTCTTGTTCAAGGGCTACAACTTTTGCTACACAATCAATACTAAACCCTCACCAGGACTCCTCTCAGATATCCTGTTGCTATTCTTTGTTATGGGCATCATGCAGCTTTGGGTCTCTAGGCCTGGCCCCTTCTCCAGCAGTTCATAGCTGGTGTAAATGTTGGGGTGAACCAAGTCAAAGCCCTGGATCTGGGCCTGAGTGGTAGCTAAGCTGTTCAGTCAGCCAGATACCCACACCCACAGCACCAAGAAGAAGAACTCTCCAACAATGCCCTGGTAGCATATCTAATGCTACACCCAAGAAGGGGCAGAGCCAGTTCTTCTGCTGTCATGCCCACTGGTTAGCTCCCAGCAGCGCCTCCTCTCCAGATTGCTGCAGTCAGTTAGGAGTAGGGTCAGACCTCCCACTCTCATGATCCTGGGGCCAGATCTCTTTCCTACCACAAGTGGAAAGGGGTTGCAGAAGGTGAGAGGACATTTCTCACACTCTATTCTATGTCAGACAAGTAGCAGAGGGAGCTCTCCAGAGCTCACACCCCCAGGGCCACCTTACAGGCTCCCAAGCCCTCTGTGGTCAGTTCTACTGTTCTGGTTAGAAGAGGTACAAGGCTGCTTTTCCTAGTGCTGCAGCTGGTGAGATGCAGGGCCAGCTTTCATGACCTTCAGGCAGGTTCTTCTAATTGCCATAGGTGGCATGGGCCAAGTGTATTTAATGCTTCTCCCCTTCACCCATGCCATACAATGTCATGACAGAAGATTGGCAGGGTCAGCCCTCCTGTACTACCATTCTTGGGGCCAGCTTTCCTGCAACCCCTTCAAACAGGGCCAGCTCTACTGTGTTTCCTGAGCAAGATGCTAAATACAGTCTCATGAATGCTGCAGCTGGCAAGGGGCAGGGCCATCTGTCCTGCTCTCTTTTCTTCAGGGCTAACTTTCCCATGATTCCAAGGCAAGGGGTGGGGCCAACTGTGTACAGTCATCAGACATCAACATGTCTCCAAGTATTGGCCCAGACCAGGGACACTCTCTTGAACTTTAGTGCTAACAGGCTTTGCTGTTGCAGGACCATTGGCCCAGATGTGGCCATTGTTGACAACATGGGCCTGAAGCTTACCATGGCCTTAGATAGCTTCACAGACTACTCAAATCAGGTACTTCCTTACTTCCCTCATTTCATTGGACATACATCCTTGTGTTTCACTTTCTCTTTCATCTCTCTACCATTTACTTCTCCGTAATATTGGTACCCAGGCTGTCTTATTAGCCAGGCAAGCTGCAGGGCCTACTTGTCTGAGTGCTGCTGCCCCTGATGGGTAGGACTAGCTCTCGCATGATCATGACAGCTTTTCCAACTGAAAGAGTGAGCTCTCCCACACTCACACATGGTCACCAGCTCTCCCACACTCCTGTAACTCTACTGTGCTGCCTTGGAGAGTCATGGGGCTCACTCTCTAAAGTGCTGCTACAGACTAGAGGAAGGGCTCATAGCTAGTGAAGGATAGGCCCAGTTCTGAATAACCTCAGCACCTTAACTTAGTCCACAGGGGCTTCCCTAACTAGGGTTATCCTCATGTTCTCTAGTGATAAAATGAGCCAAAGACATCAATACCATGGCCGCCTACCACAGACATAGATATGACCCTCAGAAGCAGCTCAGTCTGGAACCTTACCAACCCCCCATGTGGCGACGAAGCCACTTACAAGGCTCTTCCTCTCCATCATTGAGTCCCCAATCCAGGTGTCTTCATAATGCTCAATCTGCTTCACTTCTCTTTTTCTTCCATCTGTCCACTCCATACTTGCACATTGTGGTGGCTCCTTATGCATCCTGAGTCTAGTGTCTGGTCTGGTAACTGATGCAGATATCTGATGCAGGCCTGCCTATGCTGTGTGCCTAAGGGTAGGTTTGTGAGTTACATGGAAGCCTGCAAGTCTCTGTCTGTCATCCTCCTCCCTAATTGTGATGTGTGATGTTAAAGGGGCCTTTGTAAGTCTATGACACATCTTGCTATATGCCAGAGGGCAGGTCTGTGGTCTACTTGCCTGACCATGCACTGCACAGCATGGCAGAAAGCAGGTCACTGTCTGTTTTCTTCCTCCTACACTGTTTTGCCTGGATTTGATTTGATATAATATGATTTGGTTTGGTTTGAATTTTATGTGTCATAGGCATAAAACAGCTTTGGCCACAAAGTCAGGCATCAAGCTAGGAGAAGCAAAGGACTGCCAACTACTCTGCCAATGACTGATATAAGAACACCACCACCAAGGAGTTTTTTTTCCCCATTTCAAAGGGTGTTCAAAACAATTTTTAAATTTAATTATCTTTTGATGATATTATCTCCCACACCCAACTCCTTCCAGTTTCTCTCTTTACCCACCCAAATATAACAACCCATTATAAGAAACAAAATCTCCTAAAAATCACAAAAACTAAATGAAATACCAATAAAAAAGACAAGGAAAAAAAGAACATGAACAATAATCAAATAAAATAATCAAATAAAATAATCAAATAAAAGCATACACACATACAAAGCAAAATAAAACAAAACAAACAACAACAACAACTCATGGAGTCCATTAAATGTTCATCAATTGCTCCTGAATATGAGGTCTAGATTGGAAAGGTAAATATAACTAATGAAACTCCATTGGGAAAAAAAATGTAACTTTTCCTTTCCCAGAAGGTAGAATATCGTCCTTAATGGCTACATTTTAATCCATTCATTCCTTTATTTTTTAAGTATATTAAGATAAAACACAGTAAGACAAAACAACAACTATCAGATCAAAGTTGGCCAGGACACACCAGTAGAAGAAAAGGAGACCAAGAGAACGTATCAACATCAAAGAACCTCTCATGTGTTTACTCAGGAATCGCACAAAAACACCAAAATCGGAACCATAATCTCTACACAGAGGAACTATGCAGACCTGTGAAGGTCCTGTACATTCTGTTCTGTCTTGGTGAGTTCATAAAATCTTTAGTCATGTTGATTGCTTTCTTAGTGTCCTCTGTACCCTCTGGCTCATGCATTCTTTTTGCCTCCTCTTCCATGAGTCTCCCTAAGCTCCGAGGGAAGAGATTTGATAGAGATACCCAATTTGGGGCTGAGTAATGTGTAGTTTCTCCGTCTCTGGTTGCTGTGGATCCATACATTTGTTCTTACTTGTTGCAGGAGAAGCCTCACTGATGATGGCTGAGCAAAGCACTGATCTAAGAGTATATCAGAATATCATTAAGGATAGTTTTTTTTTAGATTAAATTCCAATATTAGTGTTATCTTGAATCTGCATGTTTCTTTGCATGTTTAAACTCTAACACTGACATTATTGGGCATTAGAGCTTTCTCAGATGTTAGCACAGGGTTGCAGAAGACTATAATTTGGATTAGCTCCATTATAAAGCAGACCTGCCCAAGTGTCTTTGCCCACTGCATGAGAGCAGAAAAATGTTAGAACACAGCTGCAAGTCCCCATTTCTGAACTTCATTAAAGGGATATTTCCAGAGTCCCACTGGGCATACAAACTACTCTAAGGCCAGAGCCTATGCCCAGCAGCAGATGGCCAAGAAAAAACACAGTCAGTGTTATTTTGGGATGATATCCCTGTTTATGTTTCTTACCCTGCAGGTCTTTTTCTTATTTGTAAGAGTTTTAAATGTTTACTTTTAGGAAGTTCTTGTTTGTACTAATGTGTGTGTAAAATTACATCTATAAGAATTTCTTGTGCTTTTCTTTCTTTTGTGAATTTGTTTGTTTTCTGTACTATTTGTTTTTAATCTTATATTCTTTAATATTATTATCAATTATTACATACAGGTTTTTGTTAATTTAGATGGCTAGAAAGGATTTGAATTTGGGGTGTTGAGGGATGGGAGGGTCAGGGAGGAAGTGTGAGAAAGATATAATGTAAAATCATCAATTTTCAATAAAAAACTGATAATATATATCCTCTGCAGCATAAATCTTACACTTTCCAATGTCCATACAGGGAGAAACTAGTCTCTATTTCTTAGAGTCACTTATTTTATTTTATTCTATTTTATTTTACTTTATTTTATTTTATTTTATTCTATTGTGTACCAGAGGGACCAGGAAAATAGATATAAATTATTGTGTTATTAAATATTCCTACAATTTTTTTTTACACACACACACCTACAATTTTTAAATAGAGAAAAGTAAAAAGAAAACCATTCAGCAGCCTTCTGAAGATTTTACTCTGTCCCATTTTCTCAATAAATATTAATCTACTTTTAGTAGCAGAAGAAAAATTTTCAATAACATATTAATTTTACATATTTTATATATTTATTTCCATATTTCCTATACTTAATTTATTTCTGCTACTAGATAGAATGTGTCTATGTTACTAATCACTGTGCTTATTGTTTTCTTTGATCTTGTGACTTTAGAAGATTCCTGAAAATAAATATAAATATATTTGGATTCATTCTTTGAAAGTAAACTGATTATTTCCATTGTCATCTCATGTGTGAATTGCTAAAATGAAAACAATATTCCTTAGTACACTTGTAGCTACTGTCATTGAATTTATGAGTGAGAATACAGGACAAATTATAGTTTTGTGTTTGCTTTCTCCATCTACTACATACATGTTTGTGAGTTTTGTATATATGTGCTAGATATTGATTCTCTATATACCTTAAATTGCATTTTGAAAATATAAGTTAAGCTGATGAACCTGAGATTTTTTTCCTTAAAAAATATGAGAATTATATGAGCTAATTTTGTTGAATTTATTTATGACATGGATAAATCATTGTGGAAAGTAAAGTTAAAAGTATTTATTTTTATTTCTTTTTCTTTTATTTTTTATTTTAAGTGATCTTGCTTCAAGTTTCTTTGTATAAACAGCATAGGACACTGGCCATCTGCAAATAGTGTTTTGGTAGGTGTGTCAAAACAGTTCATCTGCCTTCACATTGGCAGGACTGTCTCTATTGGTCCTTTGCAGGAGCCTGGGAACCTTTGGGAGCCTAAGCTAGAGCTGAAGCGTGGATCTTAGCTGGACTTGCAGTCTTTGCCTCCATTTGAAACTTGGACTTTGGTTGGCAGAGGCTATGATGCTTGGCCATGTAGCTTCAAATCTGCTTCCCAAGCTTAGGGTGAGGAGGGAAAGCAAGACATCCTCATTTGAAGCCAGGGCCTTTCAGCATCTTAGGTTTAACTCTCTTGGGCTTCATGAGAGCCTTAATGGCCTCTGTTCATGCACTCATTGCTTTTGCAACTTTCTACTTTTTTTCTAAAAGTGACAAGCTTGGTGGAAGACAAGGTTTCTTCAGTTTTTCTTTTTGTAATGATTTTAGCTTTCATTAGTTTTGTGTCTCAAATTTCAAAGAGAACTTGAACATTTACATAATTTGAAGTTACCAGGTAGTACAATATGGAATGAATGAAAACTATGAATCACAAAAACTAGTATGATACATTTGTGCATCAATGAGTAAAGAATCCCTGTTCTGTGTGTTAGAGGAGATTAAGCAAGATTTAAACATGTGCGCATGTCTACAGTATCAGAATATGATGTATGTAGAAAAAAGGTGATTGAAGGCAGACTAGTTATAAAAAAGATAACCTCAGAGTTTTATTTAAAAAGTTAATCAACTTAACTGCATTAAAATCATCTGCTAATATTATTTATATGTTAAATAATATCTGCTTATACTATATATCCTTATATAAGTATATATGTAATATATACACATATTATACCCATACAAATACCGTATACAATCTTTTTTCATGTTTTTATATACTTCTATTAAAATATAGGAAAATATACCTTTTTAATTTTATTTGAAATTATACAAGGGATATTATTTTATAGTTATAATTGTTGTACAAATGTGGAAACAATCACATTTTCTAACTTGTGAAAGATATTTTCCAGAAAAATCTATCTGAATGGATTATTAAATGATGATTATGGGGAAAATATGTGAAAATATTATTTTAACAAATGTCTCAGGAAGAGACATTATCAACTTCAAAATCTCCTAGGAAAGAACTGAAAGACATACATTTGGTACTTGTTGTACTAAATAAATTCATCCTATAGCTTACCATTAGCATGCTGCTGAGAATAGGTATGGACCCAGCAAGACACAAAACTGAAACTCACTCAGTACACTATGAGACTTTTTGAGCTTTGGATTATGTAGCTTGATTGCACAGTTTCAAGTTTGAACTTTGTTGACAACAACAATGTGTCTTAATAATGTGAAACTGTTGGATGTGACTTGGAAAGTACATGAGATTAAGGAGATTAGCAACTCCCTAAATCCTTGTAAATCACTGCCTGCAATTTTCTGCTTCATCCCATTGCGTTTGGAAGTATTTAAACTAGAGAAGGTTTTAACCCGGGCTATAAAATGTGGTGTATCTTTTATACAATAATCACAGATATTTTAAAAACAAACAACATTAAAAAGAAAAGCAAAATTGATATTTGGTCCCTACTGTGCATTTAGTAGTACAGATTCTTTATTTTTAAAGAGCCACAATGCCACCAATTGAAAGCATACAATGGTACAGGATAGCATCTTAACAGAAGGCTTACAGAAACTTGAATGCGAGCATTGACGTTAAATATTAAAGTGGATGAGTGATGGGTTGGAGAGAAATAAGATGAGATTTCTCTACTATAAATATGCTTTGGTTGACCTCACCTAAAATTACCATAGTATTTAACTGATAAAATTCAAAATATACCAAAACAAACAACATCAAAAGGCCACTGAAACACTTTGGAAAGAATACATTTTCTTTTTAATAAATGTTCCACTCCTTTATAATAGCACTGCTTATACACTAGCAAACGTGGATTAATTTTTGACATTGTAGATATTTTTATCAACTAAAATAAAACATAGTAATTTCATTTGAATGGCTGTGCTCTGTGACTATTAGTTTTTAAATTTTATGTCTGGTAGACTCTTCTACATGAAATTACTTAAAAATAATAAAATATCCTGTAATGAAAATGTCCTTGCTTTCTGGGTTGAAAGATAAGCTTTTGAATTTAGTTTGTATACAAAAACAAATATAAAGGAAATTTAATGTAAACAAGGATTTTAAAATGTTTCTTGAGAAGTAAGAGTGAGTTTTAAGTATTTGATGAGTTCCTGGCATTCACTGAGAATTTTCCAAATATTACTGTATAAGTAATAGCACATTTATATTTTATAAATTATTATGAAATAATTTTTAATTATTCTAGGCTTGAAGAAAATTTTCTTAGAATTGATACAAATAAACATAGACAGAT